CACTGCCCCTGAAATTGGAGAGACCAAGAGGCAGATACAGAGACCCACAAGTCACCAGAGCAGAAGTCCCCAGAGGACCCAGCACAGGGTAGGAAAGCCACCCCGTCACCGGTGAATTGCGTCAGGCTGGCATTATTGCCGTGACCTGGCATTAGAATTGAAGGCCTGGTCCCAGCCCTTCCTGCTCCTTGGGAGGTGGTGAAATCTTTAAGGGGAAGGACTCAGGGAAACGCCTTTAGCACTAGGGCAACCCTGAAAGGGGACAGTGGACATCCACCCCCTTCCTGTCTCTCTTTGCTCCTACCTGCTGTGGCATGAGCAGCTTCCCCTACCCTACCCTTCTCCCCGCTTAAGACACACGGGCAGCACTCACTGTAGGTGCAGCGAGGCCTGAGACCTGAGGCCTCTGAAGCCATGAACCAAATCCACCTCTCTACCTCTGGAGTCCATTATCCAGGGCTTAACACGTTGCCCAAACACGGTGTTGGCTTAACAACGCCTGCCCTAAGGGAAAGGGCTTTACCAGAGCTTGACCTGTGGGGCTTACCAGAGCTAAACAACCTGGGGGAAGGGAAGTAGCCAGGCCTACCTGTTCTGGCCGCCCTTGTCCTACTGAAGGAAGATTTAAAGCTGAGAAATACTTGTAAGGCTCATAGCCCAGAGATGCAGCCTCCCCAGGCTGAGACTCATCACAGTCCTGGAGGCTGTTTCCCCTCCCTTCACGCCTTGGCGCTGCATCCCTGAAGCCTGCTACCAGCAGTTCCTTTCTGCAGCACGGCTTATCCACCCCAGGACCACACATTACCAGGCACGCCGGCAAGCAAAGCCCACAGCTTGACGATATAGAGCAAGCACCACACCAGCCTCAGACGTGGCCGAGATGGCAGAGTTCTCAGAACAGGAGCCTAAGATAACTGTGATTAATATGCTACAGTCCATAAAGGGAAAAACAGAATCCATGAAGCACAAATGTGTAATGAAAGTAGAGACATGGAAATTTTAAAGAATAAATAAAAACTGCTGGAGACAACAACAAAAAACCCCTGGCGATCCCAGAAATTAAGAATGCCTTTGACTGGCTCCCTAGTGGCCTGGATATGGTTGAAGAAAGGAGCTCTGAGCTCAAGGATACCTTAACAGAAGCTTCCAAAATTTAAAAAGAAAAAGCTCTTGTGGGGAGGGGGCTGGGGAGACAGCTCAGTGGCATAAGCACCTGCCTGGCAAACACAAGCTCCCGAGTTTGATCCCTGGTACCGCATATGAGGCAAGTTTGATCCCGGGTACTGCATGTCGGGCAAGTTTGATCCCGGGTACTGCATGTCGGGCAAGCCCTGCAACTGGCAGTGCCATGCTGACCCTGAAACAGGGTGTGGTAGCACACACCTGAAATCCCAGCACTAGGGAGGCTGATACAGGAGGA